TCTATCTATCTATCTATCTATCTATCTATCTATCTCGTTTCGAAAAACAAAACGGGAATGCATCTTCCCGCTATCCCCGGGAAGATGCATTCCCGTTTCGTTTTTCGAAATGAGTGAGAGAGAGAGAGAGGGAGGGAGGGGCGGCGACCTGCACGGAGGGTCGCGCCCAATTCTCTCTCTCTCTCTCTCTCTCTCTCTCTCTCTCTCTCTCTCTCTCTCTCTCTCTCTCTCTCGCGCGCGCGCGCGCGCGCGACTTTCCTTCTGTGTATTTCAGTTTTTCTTCGTTTGTGTATTTCATTTTTTTTTCCTCCTTTCTTTTTTTGTTTATCTGTAGTGTCGTCCCTACAGAACCGGGGCCCAGGCTTCGTGCTACGACTGGGCCTTCCCTTGGCCGACCCCCCTAAGGCTGCGGCGCGTATACAGGAAGGCCCGCGGCCGATAGTTGAGCGAGGTACTGGTGGTTTAAATACAGTGCCAGGGGGGGTATCAAGTCCTTGCTAGAGGTGTCATAGACTCACTCTGGGCTCTGAAGGGATTTCAGATAGGGAAACTAAGGTGAAGTACGGGTTTGACACCCACTCCTGGCATGTCCGTGATCTGCCTACCCTCTTCCCCCGAACATAACGCACCCTGAAAATAAATGTATACAAGATATGCTTCCGGCCCGATATAGTAAAAATGTGGGTGTGTTTCGTTCGGGGGAAGACGGTAGCCCTGGGCAAGCTGGGCCAGTCAGGGCTTGTCTTGGGTAAGCTGGGCCAGTCTGGGCTTGTCCCGTTGAGCATGCCTGGTAGCCCTGGTGTCTGTAATTGCCATTCGGTCCAAGTCATGCTCTAAGATAAGGAGGTGATAGTCCGAGGTGAATTGGACTGAGGTAGGATAGTAGGAATAGGGGGTGCAGAGGATGGGTTGGGAGGCGGTCTGGCAAATAGAACAATTGTCAGAACAACCAATGGCTGGCTGATGAAGCGACCACCGTGTGTCTCAAACCTGGCCTCTACAACAACCTTATTTTTTTTTTAAAGAAAAGAAAAGGGAAAGGAAAAAAAAAAAGACATCTCGTAAGATTCCATTTTCCCTTTTTCTTCGTAGTTGGGTCTTGCCTCTCATGAGACCCCACCCATCCCCCCTCCGTCAATAGTCAATTCTCCTTAAAACTGACATTTTTTTCTAAACTCACGAAAGTGGACTTAGTCAAAATTTCATTGCTCATTGGGTGAGAAAGTGGTTATCTCACTGTGTCCATCTGGTGTACCTCAACGTAAAGTACCGTTAACATACATCCGATGATCAGATCATCGGGAGTTGCCACGACACCCGATGATCTGATCATCCGACGTCATGGGGACAAAAAAACATTAAAAAATACTGTGTTTGCAACTTTTTTGGTACGCTTACTTTCGTGAATTTAGAAAAAAATGTCAGTTTTAACGAAATGTCAGTTTTAAGGGTGTGGTGAGTCATTCTCCCCGGCGGACCGTCACTCCCTCAAACATCATGTGAATCTCCTGTCTAATACATGCAACGCAAACATCCATCCATGTGAGGATCTCCATAGGGCGCACGAATTGAGTCCCTCATTTCATCCGATAAAGGACACCATTCAGGAAAGTTGATATAATGCAAGAAAGGATATTTCAAAGCACATAAGCAAGGAGGATGACAATGATGAATATTTTCAATGCACACTATGAAGTATCAAATTGCACACGACAAATATGACAATGACGAATATCTTCAATCCACACCATGAAGTATCAAATTGGACACAATCAAGTCGGTCGAGGACATCGACACTTGCAAGCTCACAACTCTTGTCGCAGATTACACTTCAGGTTCATACATCCGACGCTGTTAAGTACAAATCCCTTCAGAGACATCATTGATCTAAATTTTTTTTTTCCCCCTCGTTTTTTTTTTTTGTGACATCTGTTGGCTCAAGGTACAACGGTTCAGTTTCAACTTTCAAGGTAGGCTGACAGCCTGACACCAATACTTTCCTCAAAGAAAGCAACGACATCCACTACAGACTACAGGCTCGCGAAGATGCAAATTTTAGTTCCATAATTTAGCTTCGGCTAAACTGGTGTTTTGATTGTATAGTTCCAAGATAAGCTTTGACATTTCTGGGTAAGCTCCCTCACCCACCCTATGTGCCACTTTCTTTTATCCGCATAGGAACAACTCACTTCGGTAACTCAACAACTGCAGCTTCCTCTGAAATGTCATCATGCTAATTGGTAGAATTTCTTGTGCCAAAGTGTTCGCATTCATACGATATATTGTCCCAATTATCAATTGAATTGTTTATTCTCTGGAACTGAAAGAGTCGCATCTTCGAGTGGTCAAAAATTATTTTTTTTTCTTCGATTGTGTCCAAATTCTTAAATTTATGAACGCATACAATCTCATGAGGAATTTTTTGTGATAAAAGCCTTGGTTTCCATAAATCCACCTTATTGGACCCTTAAGTAGTTCCCTCAAGAACAATATTTTCGTTGTCACCAATCTTTATGTTTTCAATTCGTTGCTCTACTTGCATATTTTCTCTTTTTCTTTGTACTATATGGTCAGCAACAAATCATCAATGAATCTTTTCCCGCATAGAGTCTCCTTTCATTCCGAAGAGATTTCATATAGGCATTTTCTGAGAACATGCAGAACAAGGAGGATGCCAATAACGGACTTGCTTGCCCCCCCATTGCAATTCTTGTGTCCTATTTCAAGATTTCCCACAAGGATTTCAAATATACATTTTCCAAGTGACAATTAGTTTTTTGTGGTCTGACAATCACTGATTTCCATCCACCTTCTTCGGCGACTTTTGCAAAAAATAACTTTTTTGCCTCTTAGTTTTATCATGATCGAGTGTTTTTTTTTTTCCATGTTATTCCTCCATGATCCACCTTATGGTTGTTGTGATATCGTCATGAGGGATCATGGTGAGCATTTCTTTTATGTCGAAAGTTTGCACCATGATTTGACTATC